TTTTCTATAAGAATATGTGTACTTTTACACAACCTAAAGTACCCAGCTTATAATGGGTATTCAAGATATAGAGCTAGTTTTATAAAATTCCATTGGTTCTACTAAGAAAAGAACAATAAAGATTTTAAATAAGCACAGAAAAAAACTAAACCTTGATAACTTCACTTGGAACTAGACGTGTGTAGGAAGTCAAGGTAATTATTAACTGGGGACTTGTGTCTAATTGCTTTTCATGTTTCCACTTGTTTCTGTAGGGTAGAATTGCGGCAGCCATTTTAAAGAAAAGAATATGTATTCTTTTAAATCATTTTTAACTATATTATATTAATGGAGAAAAATCAAGGGGCACCTGGCTGGCTCAGTCGGTAGAGCATGCAACTCTTGATCTCAGGGTTATGAGTTTGAGCCCCATGTTAAGTGTAGAGATTATTTAAAAAATTAAAAAAATTTTAAACTTAAATAAAATAAAGGAAAAAAGGCAAGAGAAAATTCATCTACTAGAATGACTATGGAATCCCTCAAGTCAAAATAACAGTGTAAGTATTTGTGTAGATAATGCAGTATGGTATTTTAAAAAATAGTGAAAAGTAAGGTGGTAACTGAAAAATTTGACTGGGTTTGGAACAGATAGATGAATCAGTTTTTGCCTCCGCCACTTAGATTTAATGTGGCTTTATGTAAAGTAACCTCCCTCATACTCTGTTTATTCACCTGTTATATGGGCATGATGAAATCCAGATTGAATGGTTAATATGAAAATTAGAGATTATTGAAAAATCCCTAGTTCCATAATACCAGCTGTTATTATTATTCTACAATGTATAGTATTTTTTGAATATAAAGAATTAGCAAAGTAACAAAGAATTTGTTTGTGGGAAGAGAATAAAACATATGACAATAATTTGAAACTGCAAATGACAAAGCATAATCTTGCAAGGGTCTAAGCTACTATGATGTATATAAAAGCCACAATACACAGGAATGGAAAGTGGTTTCCAAATTTTATTTACCATGACTGTTAGCATATTGTGACCCACTATACCCGCATATATATTTATATATAACTGAAAAAACATTATGAAACAGTACATAGTCTTATTATATGTGATGCACCCTGGTATTTTCTATTTTGTTTTATTTTTTTATATTGCTGTTATAATTCACTAAATAAATCCACTATTTTTGGGGGTTCCAGCGTGGAGCCCAATGTGGAGCTTGAATTCACAGCCCTGAGATCAAGACCTGAGCTGAGATCAAGAGTCAGATGCTTAACCAACTGACCCCCTTGCGCCCCTCAGTCCCCTTTGACCTATGTCAATTGCAGTTTGAAAAACACTGTTCTAAAAGATATCTAGGAAATTAAACATATTTTTAGAGTTAAGTATCTCAGCTTGATGATTAGTGTCATCATGTCAGTTGGATCCTATAGAGATCATTGATATTAAGGAAGCTATTTTAAATATTCTCAGCACACTATAAAAGAATTAAGTATAGTAAACAATGTAGAATGTATAATGAGCTATGAATTGAATATGGTATAACTGAATGCTTGTGGTTAATTCCATATTACACCAGAAGATGAAATTATTCTAAAACATTGCTATTTAATTAAGGAAACATTTTAGCATAGGAAATGGTTTATTCCCAAAGTACATTCAAAAAATATTTATATTGAGATATAATTTACATACAATGAAACTCATTGCTTGTTGGAATATTCACAAAGTTGCAAAATCATCACCACTAGAACATTTTCATCTCCCCCCAAAACCCTTTTACCCATTAGCATTCACTTTCTATTCCTCTCTCCCCCAGCCCCTGCCAATCACTAATCTACTTTCTGCCACTATAGATCTGTTTATTCTTGTTATTTCATATAAATGGAAGCAAACAATATGCAGCCTGGTATGCCTTTGTCATTTAGCATGATTTTTCAAGGTTCATCTGTGTAGGAGCATATATCAGTATTTTATTCTTTTTTGTGTCTGAATAATATTTCAGTGTTTGGATCTATCACATTTTGTTTATCCATTAATCAATTGATGGACGTTTGGGTTGTTTATATCTTTTGACTATTTTGAATAATGGTGCTATGAACATTCCTGCTGCATATAAGTTTTTAATTCTGTTGGGTAGATGCCCTGAAATGGAATTGTTGGGTCAATTGATAACTGTTTATCTTTTTGGGGAACTGCCCAACTATTTTCCAGAGTGGCTGCACCATTTTATATTCCCACTAGTAATGTATGAGTGTTCCAGTTTCTTCACATCTTTATCAACATTTGTTATTGTCCTTTTTTTTCCCTCTCTTAGTAGATGTGAAGTAGTATCTCATTGTAGTTTTGATTTGTACTTCCTAAGGACTATTGATGTTGAGCATCTTTTTGTGTACTTGCTTGCCATTCATATATCTTCTTTGTAGAAAGGTTTATTCAAGTCTTTTGCCCATTTTTAAATTGACTTGTTGTCTTGTTGTTGTGTTATAAGAGTCCTTTATATATTCTGGTTACCAGACCTTACCTGATACATGATATGCAAATATGTTCTCCCATTTTTTGTCACTTTTTTTTTCTTTCTTAATGATGTCTTTTGAAGCATAAAAGTTTTGATTTGGATAAAGTACAATTTATCTGCCTTCCTAGGATTTGTTTTTCTTGGTTACTTGTGCTTTAGGTATCGTATCTAAGCCTAATTCAACAACACAAAGATTTATAGATATGTTTTCTTCTAGGTTTAATAGTTTTAGTTCCATTTTTGAGTCTTTTTTGAGTTAATTTTTGTATATGATGTGAGACTGGAGTCCAGTTTCATTCAGTCTTTTGCATGTGTCTATCCAGTTGCCCTAGCGCCATTTGTTACAAAGAATATTCCTCCCCAGTTGATTGTCTTTGTACCCTTTTAAAAAATCAACCATATTGAGGCACCTGGGTGGCTCAGTCGGTTGAGCATCCAACTTTGGCTCAGGTCATGATCTCGTGGTCCATGGGTTTGAGCCCCATGTTGGGCTCTGTGCTGACAGCTAAGAGCCTAGAGCCTGCTTGGGATTCTGTGTCTCCCTCTCTCTCTGCCCCTCCCCCATTCATGTTCTGTCTCTCTCTGTCAAAAATAAATAAACATCTAAAAAAATTTAAAAACTTAAAAAACCAACCATATGGAAAAAAGGGGGCACTTGGGTGTCTCAGTTGGTTAAGCATCCAACTCTTGATCTCAGCTCAGGTCTTGATCTCAGCGTCATGAGTTCAAGCCCTGCATTTGGCTCCACATGGGGCATGAAGTCTACTTAAAAGGAAAAATAAAAAATAAAAAATAAATTAAGCATAAACATAAGAGTTTATTTCTAGGCTCTCGGTTCTTCTATTCCATTGGTCTATAAGTCTATCCTAATGCTAGTGCCATGCTGTCTTGATGACTAACTTTTCAGTAATTTTGGAATAAGTTAGTGTGAGTACTCCAACTTTATTCTTCTTTTTCAAGATTGTTTTGGTTGTTTGGAGTCCCTTTAATTTCCATATGAATTTTAAGATCAGTTTTTCAGTTTTTCAGTTTTTTCACAGGGATACCAGAGAGCTGGGGGAAAAGGCTAAGGCGAGTTAAAATGCTACAAAGTTGTGTTCTTGCTGAATTTCAGTTGTGTGTGTGTGTGTGTGTGTGTGTGTGTGTGTGTGTGTGTGGTGTGTTTAATAAATTCTCCAGAATTGCTACAAATCCTTGGTTAATTTCCAGAGCTCTGAAAAAGTTGCTTCTGACCATTTTTGCCAATTTTTTCATTGATTTTATGGAGAAAAGAATTTTCTAAAATCCTTATTCTATCATTTTCCCCAGCATCACTTCCTGAGTAAAAGATTTTTGAAAAGCATCTTGGAGGGAATTGAAGCTGACTCTACTCCCAAATAAGAGCGTGGGAAAGTTGGCTTTATAAAGATATGTAAGTCAATAAAGGAAAGATAGTCCCATGGAAATTCAAGAAAAGGACTTCTAATATAACTGGGCCCAAGATATTAAAGCTAGAATTCAAGGTAGCTTTAAAAAAATGAGCAGAACTTCATAGATCTTCACGTTAGTGGTCTGCCATACAAAATAGTAATTAAAGGCACAGACTTTGAACTCAGCTATCTGGATTCAAATTCCAGATCCACTTACTAACTATATAACCTCATTTTTCTCATTTATCTAACGGGGGTAATAATAGTACCTACATCATAGGCATTTTCATTGAGGTTGATAAGAATCAATCTTTGAATCTATGAATCAATTCATAGACTAGAATAGATTTTAGAATAGTCCCTGGCGGGGTGCCTGGGTGGCTCAGTCAGTTAAGCATCCAACTTCGGCTCAGGTCATGATCTCGTGGTTCATGAGTTCAAGCCCCACATCGGGCTCTGTGCCAACCGCTCAGAGCCTGGAGCCTGCTTTGGATTCTGTGTCTCCCTCTCTCTCTGCTCCTCCCCTTCTCATGCTCTGTCTCCCTCTCTCTCAAAAAATAAACATAAAAAAAAAGAATAGTCCCTGGCATAAATTGTGTGCTGTAAAAATGTTGCTGTTATTATTTTTATGTAATCAACTAGTTCAGTCTCTATTTCACTTTTCTTTTCATTACCACTGCCATCTTCACTCTCTGTATCTTTTTAATATCACAGACCTTGGTCTTAGTTTCAATTTTATTATAATTTTTGGTAATATATCTTTGGCTTACTTATTTCCTTACTCTCCTTGCTCAACTTCATGGTCACTGTCTATATTTTCTTAGCTTTAATTCATATTTCCAGAGGTAATATCAGAATGGTCCATCTCATCCCTCTTTGAACAGAGCTTTCTACATTAGGCCACCTCATGGGCTCCTTCCTGGCCTTTGGATTATCTGCCCTTGAGATGGTTGCCTGTCTGTAATGAGATAATGTGGTATAACATATGGCTGTTTAGGATGGTACCATAAGCATATAATGTTTCTGTTGTACACAGTGGTGACTGAAAAATCATGATTAACACTTCTTTTATTTCAGGGTAAGATATAATCCAGTTAATCAGAAGACAATGAATGCCAAGAGAGGACCAGGAAAAAAGATTACAAGATCAAACTATCTTCCAAAACTCGATCCATAATTCTAGAACTGGAATTCTATTTCTTCCTTTTTCTCATCCATAATATTCAACTTATGAAGTTAATGTTCAACACATTTTTCAGGGAATGAAATAGACAAGAAAGAGCTATCAAACTTCTCTTTAGCTCCTCTTACAAAAGTTTTTTCCTTTGTCTGTATTAAAGTAATTTTCTGAAGTGATCTAATATAAGTGATCTAAAATACCTAATAGTGTTGCTTTTGATTTTAAAAATATCCTGAAAGTTGGCATTATTACACTTGCCTTTAATAATAATATATCCATGATCTGTGCTGGTAGTAATTGGTTTCTAGTTGGTTGTTAGCTAAAAATGTGAGCTCATCAAAACATTTAGTTCTTATAGGCTATATCATATTCAGATCTTTTAAACTTATGGTTTAGCAACAGATGTTGGTGAGGATATGGAGGAAAGGGAACCCTCTTGCACTGGTAGTGGGAGTGCAAACTGGTGTAGCTGCTCTGGAAAACAGTGTGGAGGTTCCTCAAAAAATTAGAAACAGAATTACCCTATGACCCAGCAGTAGCACTCCTAGAAGTTTATCCAAAGGATATAGGAGTGCTGATTTGTAGGGACACATGTACTCCAATGTTTATAGCAGCACTATCAACAATAGCCAAATTATGGGAAGACCCAAATGTCCATCAATTGATGAATGGATAAAGAAGATGTGGTGCATAGATACAGATACAGATATAGATATAGATATAGATATAGATATAGATATAGATATAGATATATAGATATAGATATAGATATAGATATAGATATAGATATTAGTGATGAAAAAGAATGAAATATTACCATTTGCAACAACGTGGGTGGAACTGGAGGGTATTATGCTAAGTGAAATAAGTCAGTCAGAAAAAGACACATATCATATGTTTTCACTCATATGTAGAATTTGAGAAACTTAACAGAAAACCATAGGGGAAGAGAAAGAAAAATGAGTTATAAACAGAGAGAGAGCCAAACCATAAGAGACTCTTAAATACAGAGAACAAACACTGATGGGGGTGGGGGTTGGGGGTTGGGGGGTGGGGAAAATGGTTGATAGGCATTGAGGAGGGCACTTGTTGGGATGAGCACTGGGTATTTTTTGTAAGTGATGAATCACGGGAATCTACTCCTGAAGCCAAGACTACACTGCATATACTGTATGTTAGCTGACAATAAATTATAAGAAAAATAAGTACTAAACTTATGGCTTAGGGCACCTGGGTGGCTTAGCTGGATGTCCAACTCTTGATTTCAACTCAGGTCATAATCCTAGAATGGTAGGATCAAGCCCTTGTTAGGCTCCATGCCAAGCGCGGAGCCTGCTTGGGATTCTCTCTTTCTCCCTCTGCCCCTCTCCCCTGCTTGTGCTGTCTCTCTCTCTCTCTAAAATAAAAACAAAACACAAAACATAAAAACTTATGGTTTAAACAAAGCTACAAATCAGATGGATTTTAAACTTTGATTTGAACTAATGTGGTGTTATGGACATAACCTTCAATCAGCCATCAGCTTGGTTATAATTCCCACCCTGCCATGAACTTAGATCTTGGGCAGTTTCCTTCATCCCATCTTTATTTCCCATATCAGTAAAATGATGGAGGCAAATGATATAACTTCTAAGGTTTGTACTTTGCTAGAAAACCAATACTTACTTAACTACAAGCTCCTACTACTTAGCACATAGTAATTTAAATCATTTTATGATGTTTCTTAATGCACAGTGATGGCCTAATTCTGTAGACCAAATATTGCAAGCATTCACAATCTTCAAGTCTAAAAGTGGAGATAGAGAGGATAGGAGAAGGGTTTATTTAAGGCATTTATATAATTTATTGAAATTTTCTGTTTATGTTTAGGTTGTTTTATAATTGTTACCTAGGTCTGGAACATACCTATGATTTCTTTGCCCAACTTAATAAGTAAAATTATTAGACTTTATATTTCCAGAAATAACTCACAGTTAACTAAGTATATTTTCCAGCAAATGGTGTTCCCACCTTATATCTGGAACTAAAACATAACTTCTATTTAGTATCAGTAATGAATACTAAATGCATTTCTATAATAAATTGTATAGATATTCACTTTCTTTAAGGAACAATGCATAAATTTCAGATAGACAAATAATTCTTTTATGTGACTTTAAAAAGTAATACAGAAAAACATTCAGTAACTTTCTATAAATTATTCCAAATGGAAACTGTTTGGAAATATTTCTCCCATTCCTTTTTTTTTTTTTAAGGTTTATTCATTTTTCAGAGACAGAGACAGAGAATGAGCCAGGGAGGGGCAGAGAGAGAGGGAGACATAGAATCTGAAACAGGCTCCAGGCCGTCAGCTGTCTCCACAGAGCCTGACGCTGGGCCCGAACTCATGGACCACGAGATCATGACCTGAGCCAACGCTGGACACTTAACTAATTGAGCCACCCAGGCACCCCTATTTCTCCTATTCTTAAGCTAACAACAGATATCAGGTATAGTGACCCATATTGTTAAGCAAATATTAGATTTTTTTTTAATTTTTTTTTTTAATTTTTTTTTCAACATTTATTTATTTTTTGGGACAGAGAGAGACAGAGCATGAACGGGGGAGGGGCAGAGAGAGAGGGAGACACAGAATCGGAAACAGGCTCCAGGCTCCGAGCCATCAGCCCCGAGCCTGACGCGGGGCTCGAACTCCCGGACGGCGAGATCGTGACCTGGCTGAAGTCGGACGCTTAACCGACTGCGCCACCCAGGCGCCCTGCAAATATTAGATTTTTAAGTCTTATACAATCTTTCTTAGCATTAGCAGCAAATTGATGATTTAAATATTAATGATATTTATAATCAGAATTGTCACTGAAAAATAAATTTATTTCTATCATACAAAGCAAGCCGTTGTGGGGATTGGATTTAAGAACATTTAAATTTATGTCAATTACTAGGATGGGTAGTTGAACATCTTATTACAGGGACACTGTCATGTTCAGTATTATTTCTGCAGGAGCTACTTTGGGATACTTCAATGACAGAAAAGGTCTGTCTTAAACAGAGAGATGGCGTAGCATAAAGAACTGGTATGGGGGCTCTTTAAGATCTAAGTTCTAATATCAGCTTTGCCACTTCTAAGATTCTGACCTTGAGTAAGCCACTTTTCATTGTCTCATTTTCATCATTTATGGAACTGGGAATAAATTGCTGTGCAGATCAAGGATAGTTACTACATATTTATTTGTTTATTTGCCCTATTTCTAAAAAGATTGTGTTAGATTTTACTAAATATAGAGGTATAAAAACAAAGATCATAAGATAACAGAAAAAAAAGTTAATTTCTTGTAAGAATTCCCAACTAAGAAAAGCTTGAGCTTTTAAGCTTTCTAGCAATCAGCACAAAGAAGGACTGAATTATACAGCTCTCACCTTTTTGTAGAAGGAATATACAAGTAGAGAAAAAGTTTTACCTAATTCTAAGCTTTAACGATAATGTATCATGTGAAGTTTTGTTTTGTTTTGTTTTTTTGACAGAGAGAAAAAGAGAGCGCGTGTGCACACACACGTGTTAGCTGGGGAGGGACAGAGGGAGAGGGAAAGAGAAAATCCCAGGTAGCCTCCGTGCTGTACAGACTTGAGGCTTGATCTCACGACCATGAGATCATGACCTGAGCCAGAATCAAGAGGGGGACACTTAACCGACTGAGCTACCCAAGCACCCCTCATGTGCAGTTTTATAAGAAAATGTAATTATTTATTGAAATAATGAGTGCAAAAATGATAGCTTGGGATTTTAACTTTGTTTAATACTGAAATATGTATTAATATCAGTGTTTGGGTTTTTTTTGAAGAGTTTAGAATTCATAAAGCAAAATATCAGTGAGCAATATTTAATATATTTCAACATTTTAATATCTAAATGTGTTATAAAATATCAATATCATTTATGAAAACAAATTTTGCTATGAAAAAGGAAGATGGTGAGTAAAAACAAGGATGTGGAAAAATTGGAACCCTCATAAACTGCTGGTGGGGATGTAAAATGGCACAACCATTTTGAAAAAGAGTTACTATATGATCCAGCAATTCCACTCCTAGGTATATACCCCAGAGCAATGAAAACCTATATCTATATAAAAATGTATATACAAATATTTATAGCACCATAATTCATAATAGCCAAAAAATGTCCATCAACTGATGAATGGATAAACAAAATGTAGTGTATCTAAACAGTGGGATATTATTCAGCAATAAGAAAGAAGTACTGATGTATACTACAATTTGGATGGACCTTGAAAACATTCTAAATGGAAAAAGCCAGTCACAAGAGGTCATATATTGTATAATTCCATTTATATGAAAAGTCCAGAATAGGCAATTCATGCAGACAAAAAGTAGGTTAGTAGTAGTTTCCAAAGGCTGGTGGGGCTAGGGGAAGAAGGGTGGGTGATGGGGAATGACTGCTAATGTGTACAAGATTTCTTTTGGGGGTGATGAAAATGTTGCAAAATTAATTGTGGTGATGGTTGCACAACTCTGTGAATATACTAAAAAACACTGAGCCAGTTAGATGAGTTAATTGCATGTTATATGACTTGTACCTCAATAAAGCTGTTATAAAAAACAAATGTTAAACATGCTAATATGTTAATATAAATTAGCAAATAAATTTTAATAAAGTATTATTTGATCTTTCTCAGAAGATGTGATCTTAAAAATTAAGATGGATCGTCATTTGGTGCTATTGTTGAGTCAAGAGCATAATTTTGAGCATAATTTTCCAACGAAGAAACTCTTTCAGATACTACACTAGTCAGAAGAATAATGAGGATTAAGTGCTACTTGCCAAATTTCCTTGACGTCTTTTGAATAATCTCATCTCTTGCTTCATAACCTTGTGGAGAGATTTATGAAACATTTTTTAAAGGAATCTGTATGTTTATTTATTTACTTTATGAAATTTATTGTCAAATTGGTTTCTATACAACACCCAGTGCTCATCCCAA